AAAATATTAAAAAAAAAAAAAAAATATGCACACCCATGTTCACTGCAACATTACCCATAATAGCAAAAAGATAGAAACAACCTAAGTGCCCATAAACAGATGAATGGATAAACAAACTATGGTACGTACACATAATGGAATACTACACAACGATAAATCTGCGAAACATCTTACAACATGGATGGATCTGGAGGGCATTATGCTGAGTGAAATAAACCAATCCCAAAAGGACAAATACTGTATGAGACCATTCTTATAAAAATTCATGAAAATGTTTACACACAGAAAGAAGCAATCTTTGATGGTTTACAAGGGAGGAGAGGGGTGGGAAGGGAAAAACACAACAGATAAATGGTATCTTTGGCAAAAGGCATGACAGTGCTCAATACTGGGGAGGTCAGCACAACTTGACCAAGGCAAAGTCATAGAAGCCTCATAGATACACCCAAACTCCCTGAGGGACCAAGTTACTGGGGCTGAGGGCTGGGGGCAAAGGTCTCAAGGGACATCTAGCTCAATTGGCATAACATAGTTTATAAAGAAAATGTTCTACATCCTACTCTGGTGAGTAGCATCTGGGGTCTTAAAAGCTTGCGAGCGACCATCTAAGATATGTCTACTGGTCCAACCCCATTCTGGAGCAATGGAGAATGATGAAAATCAAAGACACAAGGGAAAGATTAATCCAAAGAACTAGTGGACCACAACTACCACAGCCTCCACCAGACTGAGTCCAGCACAACTAGATGGTGCCCGGCTACCACCACCAACTGCTCTGACAGGGATCACAATAGAGGTTCCCGGACAGAGCTGGAGAAAAATGTAGAACAAAATTCAAACTCACAAAAAAAAAAAAAAAAGACCAGACTTACTGGTCTGACAAAGACTGGAGAAACTCCGAGAACATGGCCCTCGAACACCCTTATAGCTCAGTAATGAAGTCACTCTCGAGGTTCATCCTTCAGCCAAAGATTAGACAGGCCCGTAAAACAAAATAAGATTAAATGGGCACACCAGCCCGGAGGCAAAAACGAGAAGACAGGAGGGGTCAGGAAAGCTGGTAATGGGGAACCCAAGGTCGAGAAGGGGAGAGTGTTGACATGTCGTGGGGTTGGCAACCAATGTCACGAAACAATGCGTGTATTAATTGTTTAATGAGAAGCTAATTTGCTCTGTAAACTTTCACCTAAACCACAATAAAAAAAAATCATCTGGAGAAATTAACACCGAGGAACATTCCTTTACATTGAGAGAAAATAGAAAGTAGTAGTACCTGTCCATCTAAACACATGCCTTAGGAACGCTCCCATGACAGTTAATTGACAAAGCCACTTCTTTGGCTGTGTTGGTTTCTAGGTGATTTTTTTTTTTTTTAATTAAGGGTATGCTCTTCTGTATTTGGCCATACTGTATAATTACTTGATACATCATTATTTCTTTTGTTATGAAAATTAGTTTTCTTGCAGCTTTGAGAATCCCAAGAGCTGGCAAGATACTCCGTGTTATGAGAGCAAGAGATGGAAAGGGTCTAGTGAGTAGTCCAGGAGGAACCAGGGACAAGAAGGGATCTCCTGCTAACATAATCAAGAGCTGGAGTCCTAAGGGGTGAAGCCTGTGCTGTGGAGTCTGGTCGCAGAGCTGCAGTACAACGCTGGCTCTGCCATTTACAAGTTCCATGACCTTGAGCGAGTTATTTAACCTCTCTATGCCTTTGTTTCCTTCTCTGTAGAATGGGAACAACAGTAGTACTTCTCACCACATGCAGTAGCTGTAAAAATTAAAGCTGTTACCAGCATACCTGGCACATAGTGAGCACTCAGTAAATATTACATGGCGTATATTCTTGATTTGCTCAGGCTCTTTGCTTCCTGCCTTTACTTCTTGATTGGGCCCAGAGTCTGTTGTCAGGGTGCCTTATGCAAGAATCAGTTTACTTGGTGGCTGAATGATCTAACAGAAAGAATTAACAGAAGGCCTAGGTCCATATTGTGTCATTGCCGCTGACTAGCTGTATAATTGTAGATGAATCTCTTAACTTCTCTCGATAATTTTTATCTCTAGAAGGGGAATCATGAGGCCTGCTCCACCTGACAGGGTTCGTAAATGAAATAAGTGGAAATATACTTTAAGGTATAAAATATTCAAGTGGTAATATATTATGGGCAACTTGGGATGCGTAGATATGAAGTCAGCCAGATTTTTAAAGTATTAATTGTTCCTAGGTCTTTTCCATTTGGGGATGCATTTCAGTGCTGCCATGAGCATCATTCCATGTATTTTAACATGTGGTCTCTGTGAAGGAAGTGCTTCAACTCTGCACCTGATGGTCAAGTACCACTGTCTACGTGGCAAAGGCTACATCAATGCGCGGTGAGGAGAAACTCCCTGTAAACTTTGCTTCTGTGTATTTCACAGGTCTCACCAACCCATAACCATCTGATGAGCACAGGAGAGCAGAGACAGCACACTCACACAGTCCTGTCCTCCCCGCCCAGAGGAACCGTCAGCCTGAGGTACGACTGCTTGAAACACCACACACCTCATCCCGAGGAATTGCATGAAAAATGAAACAATGGAGGGAAAAAAGAAACTGGAAATACGATCTTCCACAAAATGTTCCCAGAATCACCGAGATAGCCTTTGTTTCGATCCTGTGTTTGTTTCCCATTCATTAACGGTGAATGGACTTGTTGTTTTAAAGGGTAGTGCTTTACAGTACGTTTTTTAATCATTATTTTTATTGTGATAAAATATATATAACAAAGCATTTGCTATTTCAACCATTTTTATGTGTACAATTCAGCGACATTAATTACATTCACCACATTTAGATCCATCACCACTACCTCTTCCCCAGTTTTTCCTTACCCTTAACAGAAACTCAGTACCCCTACAGCCTCAACTCCCACTTCCTCTTCCCCCCAACTCCTGATAACCGCTAATCAGCGCTGGTCTCTATGCATTTACCTATGCTAGATATTTCATGTAAGTGGAATCAGACAGTATTTGTTCTTTTGTGTCTGACTTCTTTTGTGTCACTCAACAATGTTTTCAAGGTTCGTCCATGTGGTAGCATGTATCAGAACTTCATTTCTCTTTATGGCTGAATAATAGCCATATACATACATATATACACATACATCACACACACATACATCCTACACACATACATCACACACGCATACACACACACGCATACATCACACACACATATATACACCTATCACACATTTTGTTTATCCATTTACTTGTTGATGGACACTTGGATTGTTTCCACCCCTTGGCTATTATGAATAATGCTACAGTGAACATTGGTATACAGGTATGTGTTTGAGTTCCTGCTTTCAAGTCTTTTGGGTATATCCCTAGGAGTGGACTTGCTGGCTCGTATGATAATTCTATGTTTAACTTTGTAAGGAACCACTAAACTGTTTCCCACCACGACTGCACCGTTTTACATTCCCATCAGCAGTGAATGAGGGTTCCTACAGAAAGTTTTCTTACAGAATAAACTGATCTACTGTTAATGAGTTTGCTTGGGGGGGGCTATAATTTACAGTGAGTTTTCTTGCAGAATAGGTAATGGTGTTTATTGGGCCTCGTTAAAGCCATGTGCGCTAACTTCCATATTAAATGAACTACAAGATACAGTTTTAGCGCAGATCAAGGAGAACCTCTTTGGAAGTTCCTTTTCCAGAGCACTAGAAATTTAGGAAGCAAAGGAGCACTTGAAAAGTCTATATGGTTCTCTGCTGGTTATTTCTCTTATTTACTTAATACAGTTTTGTGAAGCTGGCCACGTGGACATGTCCATTGATGGACAAAGTGAAGCTTAAGTGCCGTGAAAACATCCACGTGTTAAAGTCTGAACCGAGAAGAGAACCTCAACTACATTTCCTGACTTTTTTTCTTGCTCTTTCAAAGGATTTCAGGCTCTCCGTAGATGCCCATTGAATTCCTCCCGTGGAATCAACTGTCCTTGTCTGTCTTTCAGGAAGCCCAGGGGAGAGGGCAAAAAGTGCCGGAAGGTGTATGGCATGGAGAACCGAGACATGTGGTGTACTGCCTGCCGCTGGAAGAAGGCCTGCCAAAGGTTCATTGACTGAGAGCCCCGCCCGCACACCCGAGCTACTCCCGCCCTCTCCTTCCACTGCAGGTTTGGAAAAGTGCTTTTGCTTCCGAACAAAAAGCACTTAAAGCCCGGGAAAAGCACCTCCCGGAAACTTGGTGGAATTACAGCAAAAAAAAAGTCAGCACCCTCACTGCTCTGACTGAGAATCCAGCCTGGAGCAGCTGTGACCTTCATTTCCTTCCAACGAAAAGCCACCCTTTTTTGCTGTATGTCTAGGTCTTAAAAACTGAACTTCTGTAGCAGGTGAACCAACAGAGCCCTTTTTTGCCTAGTGAGGAGGCGAATTTTGATAAGCTTTCTGAATAATGCCATTTCCGACATTTTTTGACACTTAAAAAAAAATAAGCTACACGTTCTTCAGTAGCATTTGTACAAAGAACAATACCTACTTTCCTTGTGAATAGTTGTTTTCCTGTTTTCCATTTGCCTTCTTGGAGCAGTGTGTCGCAAGAACATGCCACACTCTGGGTATCTTTTTTATTTTTTTTTAATGGCCCCAAACTGAACCATGGTAGAGCTGTTAGCCTGGAGGGCCTGGAATGGCATACATTTGAAAAGAGATGAACAATGGAAATCACCAGCAGACCTCAGCCTCAAGCTGAGTTCAGAAATGCAGCTGTCACCGTCCGGGAAACACCTTGGAGTTTTCCATGGGTAAGGAGCGCCTCCCCAGAGGCAGCACAGCAGATTCTCTGCCTGCCACCACCCAGCCAAGCACTGGCGCTCTGGGTAAGCCTCCATGCTTCTTTCAGGGATGGGACGCAGACCACAGCTCGGACCTGTTTGTCACTGCTTGTCTGTCAAGGTGTTGCCCGGTTAATGGGTCCTTTCTTGAGAATGCCACCACTGACTGATTTCAGAAAGGGTCGAGAACTCCAAACTGTCCCAGCAAGTTTGCTTTAAACAGCAGAACACAGCCTCCATCCACGTCCCCAGCTGTTCAGAAGGTCACGTTAGGTCAACAAACCAACTTCCGTTCTGAGTGCACTTTTATAGGTTTTTATGCTTTAGCATGTCTGGGAGATGGGTTGATGGACAATATAAACATTATATGGATAAAGGGTTGGTCCAAGCCTTTATTTTCTTATAAAATATTGGAGCTATTTATTGAGAATTAGCTCAGAAGGGAGCATACAGAACACCGAAAGGAAATGCTTGCTGGTTTGGGAATCTCGGTATTTAGTAAGGCCAGGGTTTGCTGTGGGTTCAGTGTATCAGGCTTTCTAGCCTAGCGGGTTTGGTTGGTTGGTCGGTTTTCAGTGGTGGGAGAGGACAGGGCAGTAGTAGTTCTGCCCTCTAAAGCTCATTATCTACCCTACTCCCAATTGCCCTGCTACAAGTTATTCCTCTATACCGATGCAAGGCAGCAAGAGCACCTTACAGGAGGCGCTGTGTAGGGACTGGGGACATAGGATCAGCCACAGCTGATCAGCACAGAGGAGAGTTTAATATATGTTTGGAGATTGCACATACACTTTTTTTAAAGAGAAGAAGTCAGTCATCTACTAATAAGATATCCTTTTTTAAATGTCTGAGGTTCTTTGGTGCAACAGCCACAGTTTATGCATTCATATCTTCTGGCAATTTTCTTTTTTAAGCTCTCATCAGACTCTTTTTTCCTCATTCCTTGTAAAAGATCCTATTTTCTTCCTCCATTTATTTTTTTAAACCACTCATTTCTAGAAAGCAGAAACAGAGCTTCGTCACCTTTCACGTCCTGATTCCCAGTCAGTAACGCCCACCGCACTGGCTCTGACGTACGTTTCAGTACTTCTTATAAGGTCACCCGGGAACGGGCATTTTTGAAATCAGGAATGTATCTGCCTCCTCTTCCCCAGCGCGTCCTTTCTTCTCCCTGGTGTCCCGTCAGCTCGCTGCAGTCACCCGCTGCAGTGACACAAAGCCGCTGGTCTGAGCCGGGGCTGGATTGCCCAGGGACCGCCTGCTTGAGCTAGATCACCACGAACTTAGACCGCGGGCAGGGCACGATGCTGGAGCAGCAGTTTTCCTCTTCGGCAAAGCTGCCTGGCCCTTGGTCCTTGGATTCAGTCACTAATCGAAAGAGCTTAAGGGGACGAGGAGCTAAATCCATGCCCCCTTCCAGGACTTTGGAACCAGAGGGAGAGATCTTTGGCGTGGAGCAGTCCCCAGAGCAGGGCTCCCCGGCTCTCACTCCCAAGATGTGCCCCTGAGCAGTTCTGAGCTCAGCGCTGGCTGAGCCGAGCTCAGGTCTTGCCTGGCTTCTAGCACACGCACAGGTGTAAGCAGAGCATAGAGCTGAAAGCAGCTTGGCTGTGATTTATTCCGTCTTCTGCATCTCCTGTCCGCACGCAGCTCCTTTTTGCTGGCCAGCCAGGCGGGTACAACTGCTCAGCCGAGCACCCCGTGTACCCTCTTCTCGGGCTCCCAGGTGCAGACAGAGGCTGGCCCCCACTGCCTTCCTGGACACATAGACACCCATTCCCTGTGCCAAGGCTTGTAAAAACTAGGGACCTTTTGACCTGGCTGACCTTGAAGAAAAGGAATCATATCTCCTTCAAGCCAACCAGAAAGCTATGAATTGCAATATACAGTCGCTGATTGTAAAAATTAAAATTAAACAAAGAGTAATTTTGTTATACCTGGGAACTAAATGAAGTGCCAAATTAAGCGAGACATCCATTTTATGCCATCTCTGTGGACCAAGTCCTTCTTCTGTCTTCATTTTTCAGGGAGAGGAAGGGAAAGGTAGGGAAGGGAAGTCCCCCTGCTGGCTGCATAATGGGACCAGCTTGATCCCAGTGATCCCAGAGGCTGTTTGTACAGAAGAAGTGGTAATACAATGGATTCTGGTCCCAAAGGCATGGTATAGCTTTCTTTTTTTTTTTTTTCCTCCTCCCTTGATAACTTTTTCCTCAGATACGGTTCCCCATCTCTCTCCAAAGAAGGCATTTTGTAATAACAAAGCATTCTCCAGATACCTGCAAAGCCAAGAGTGTTTATCAGGCAGTGGTTTTAAGCCTTAGTCCTTCCCAGAAGACACTGCACCCAGTTGGTTGGAGGCACTGTGACAACTGGAAGAAAATGCCCAGGTAGTTTGGGGGCCAGAGAGGAGACACAAGAGGCGCATGGATGCCTGGCTTCTGCTCATCTCCTTGGCACCGGCCAGCTACCTGCCTGAAAGGAGCCAGAGATTCCTGGGCTCCCCTGAGGGAACTGCCACGTCCTCCCTCTGGGAGCAGTTGCCAGAAGCTACCTGAAGGGAAGTCACTGTGGCCAGGTGCACATCTCTAGCGGACGGACGCCTGCCTTCACCTCACATGCTGGACACTTTCCTCCCCTGGCTGGCAACAGCCAGCGTCAGAAGAGGGCAGTGCGTTTCTGACCAGGGTTGTGAGTGCTCAGCTGTGAAGTGCCTGCCAGCAGCTCCAGGGACCAACAGGGGGCCCTTGATAAGAGAAATCCCTTGCCCCACCATAACCATGCTGCAGATGACAATTTTCTATAGAGAATAACGCATGTTACACTTCTTGGGCTTTCCAAAACGTTTTCAAAGAAATAGTCACACGTAGGATGCAAAAGGTTTCTGAGATTGAAACGTCCTCCATCAAACGCCAAGATTAGAGTTTAAGTCGGCTCTTCGGCGTCACGCTAAGCCAGACTTCTGAAAGCAGCCCCCGTCCTGAGTCCGTGGGCACTGCTGCCTCCACTTCTGCCCTCATCAGACTTCACTGCAGATTTAAGGGCAGCAGCACTCGCTTGATGAGAAAAGAGACAAGAATTGTGTGTACAGTAGAGAATGCCTTGAGAATAGTAGCAAAATACTATAAGTAATATTCATTTCCTCAGGGAAAATTAAAGGGTATGTGAAAAATAGGTCTGGAGGATCCTAAGACTAGGATGAATTTTACTGTCTTTAGAGTCTTTTCCAGTCAGCGTTTTCCGTAAAGGAACCTGATATAAGTTCATGACAAATTTACATCAACTGGACGGTACGGACTTTTCCGAGGCCTGGGGGGGGCGCCCTGTGAAAAAGCTGTTTCTTTGTAGCTGATCTGAGGTCAGAGGCTGACATTTGAGCCACAGGCACAGTCCCTGGTGGGTGTTCGTAGACTCATGTAAGGCTTTTTCTGAATGTAATTGTGAACATGCAGCCTTGCCAGTCCTTTCCGCAATCACCCGGTTAAATGACGGTTTATTAGCGATGCGCAGAGTTCTGTAGATGAAAGCTGTTAAAAATGTGCACTTTGCTCCCATAGCATGTTAAGGAGCAAACTTCCATGGACTCTTGTGGACAAGGTGCTGTTTTTCCTCATAACCCTGTAGAATTCCTATCGACCATGTCTACTGTAGCGTTGACCTGTGTGAAGGCAGGGGAAGAATTTGTACGTACAGATGAGCGGAAACCACAGGATGCGTGAGTAGAGATGAGGATGGAAATCATTTTGGAGACTGCGCTGGGCGCACAGGTCAACGGGGAATTCCATTTCTCTAAGAAGATAACTGTATCAGCAGCACACACGCTCCCAAGTCCTCACACCCGTGGGGAATTCTCCACGTGGGAACTGTTTCATCGCGTCTTTCTGCATTGTAACTAATCAAAGCATAAATCAGTAAATAAATGAGATGAGCCCTTTTAGGTACCAATTGTATCACTGAGTAACGCACCCCAGTAGAGCAAGAAAGTATCAAATGTATCCAAGACTGATAGGTTTGCTTACTGTGACTATGGAGAAGCCCATATCCAAGGATATAGACATGCTTTAAAAGATGTATCTATCACAGGACCAGAAACCAAAATGGGAATTTTCCTTCTGGTCCTGCTCTGTAAATAGTTCCTTGTGTTGAAGACAATCTCATGTTTTATAACTTTTTGTTGTGGGGCTGAGAATCAAAATGCTAATCTGTTTTGTCAACATCTTAAATACAGTAATAATACTGATAAGTTAATTCGTCAAACAAAACAAATTATACTGCTTCGGCTGCCATGATTCTAAGAGACGGGACGCTTTTGTAACAAGCACTAGGACTTCTCAAGTTGACAGAACTGGAGGTATTTTACAAGATGCAGTGTTTTGTAATCACAAAGAACATGAACATTTTGTGAAAAATGACCTTGGTTTTATACATTGTAGCTTATTTTTCACAATGCAGTCTTTTACCAGACAGGAAGGGTTTGTATTATAAACAATTCCTGCTCACCAAACAAAGGGCTATATGCCACTTTTAAAACAAATGTTTGACGGACGCGTATCTTTTCAGTTAATCCTCTGCAGCAGGAGTAGAAATGCAGATCGGATGGAACAGTTATTACAAGAGACTCAACCTGGCAGCAGCTGTTCCTTCTGTCATTACCAGTGTGTTTTCAAAGGATTATGGGGGGAAAAAGATAACTTTAAGAATCATCCTATATATCTTAAATCTCAGAATGTTAGCAGATCTGCTCGTAAGTTCGTTAGTGTCAAATGATAGATTCTATGTCAGAAAGCCAAGTTTACCACGCTACCTACAGAACCATGAACCTGCATTTAACGAACACATATCATTTGGTAGAAGTTTCTAAAGTCATAGTGTTTAAAAAAAAAAGTAAAATATTAAAAAAAAAAAAGAATTCTGAGATGATCAGTAGTGTTTAAATCACTTTGTCCTCAGCACTAATTAAATGACTTTAATGTCCTTGTCGGAACACGTGCTCAGTTTTCCATGAGAAAGACACGCTGGCAGGCACACAGAGCTGTGATCGGAAAGTGACTGTGTTCCCAAGAGTGGAGACCAAGGAGGGGAGCCACGGCGAGTTTCTTAACTGCACAAATAATTCTCGACTTTGCCAAAACTATATTCTAATACTGTACAGCGTTTCAAGCCCACTCACAATTAAAACAAGAAAGTATCTTTTCCTTCTGTGATTTTGGTCAATTCAAAAGCTAGCCCAGTTAGCCACTGATGCAGATATCAGCAAATCAAACAGTGGGACAGAATGGCTGTGCACCCGCCAGACATCTCCTCTGAGGCTCAGAGGGTTACGCAGACCTTGGTTTCTGATAGGCTTTAGAATCTGCACACAAGGGCTAGAAATGCACACGGGGTTCAGGAAAGCTGTGCACAGCCTCGGCCCCCAGCCTTTGAGATGAGACAGCCTGCAAATGTCTATCTTCGTTCCCTTGGAATATCTCCGTTGTTAGCATTCAAGTCCTCAAGAAGTATTTATTGCTGTATGGTTTTGAACCAAACAAGTCTCATCTCCTCTTTGAAATCAGCTTCCTAGTGGTACATGCAGCAGAGGTTGCAGATTCAGATGCCTTAAGAGGCAGGCAGGTTCCATAAATGAACGCCGCTGATCAGACACAAAAGGGACACTAGAAAATGGTGGTGATCGTGGTGAACTGGAGAACTCACTCCCCATTCAAAAGGGGACCCACACTCAGCTCTAGACCATCAGGGCTGCACAACAATTCAGGGCCTCAGGTGCCAGATCTGACTTGGAAATACGCGATTACCTGACATTTAAATATTGACAACTGACAGAAACTCTTGGCCAACACCATGCAAACCAAAGAGAATCCGGATGTGTCCAGGGGCAACCCATGACCACCAGTTCCAACTGCTGCAGAAAACGTAAGTCACATCCACGGTCATTAGGCCAAGTCCCTGCCTGATCCACACAAACTCAACGTGCATTGGCACCATCTCGGCAACAAAAATAAAAGAAGGGAAAGATTTGGTCATTTCTCCCCAGCAATCATTCTCACAGAAGATGTGAATACAGAAATGTGATATTCAGAGACCAGCCTTGCCTCTGATCAAAATACCCGGAAATATCATCCAGATCTCACTCTGCCTCCTCTGGTGTGCCCAGGCCGTCCCTCAAAGCATTGCATAACTGTAATCCCAGTTTTTGACTGTTTCCACTACCGTGACCACTGTGATGAGGGGCTGGCAAAGACGAGCCTTCAGAGAAGGCTGCCGGGGAGCCCCGCTGTTGGAAGACAGTACATGTTGCCTCCTTGTGCCAAAGCCCTTTGCCATCCCCTCCACACCCCTTCCCTCTCCATCCTGCCTCTAAGTTTTTGTTCCAGTTTGTAATTACTGTGGTTTCACCTCTGATAGGGCAAAAATCCTTGCTTCAGAACTGGGGGGTGCTTCCGGTATTTTGGAGAGTTGCGGATCTCCAAAAGGAAGTTTTTCCATGTAGAAAACCTTCAAGCCTTTGTCTGAAGGAAAGAACAAAATGGGAATCAGTGTATCATGGGAACAATTAAAAGTTGCTTCATTTGTTTGGATGGACTAAGTGTTTTTAAACTGTATCTTATGCCAGAGTCTTGATAGTGTTGGAGTAACAACTAGCCCTTTCACGTGTATTAAAAAGTATGTCTCTTTTGGAGCCATTATCTCGTTTGATCTTCATAAGAACCAAGTATAGAATAGGAATATTTAGGGTCACCGTCAACCACCGCCAAGGCCAACCCGGAGTAGTCTTGAACCTGTGAGTCAGCCTCACGACCGCCTGTGAGGAGGAGGGAAAGAGCTTCTTAAAGGGCAGACTGAGACCTTAGTCTTCCAGAATGAGTCTAGAACTGAGAAGACCCAGGGGGTCCCCACATTCTGGACCCATCCTTTCAATCTAGTCTGGTGGGCTCCAGATAAGCCCACATGTAACAGGCCCTTCAGCAGAGACGTAAAGAGCCCGCTCATCCACCTCATCAAAGGCAGACTTAGCCGTCCCCAGTCGTATCCCTTCACTGTAATTACCATGCCACCATTCCCTCAGTTCCATCCAACAACGTGCTGAATTATAGGATTCCTATTAGCTAGTGTGATATTCTGAGTAAAAATGTGGGCTCCCTGGGAAAAAGCTACTTTTCTGCTAGCATTCAACATTTCTTATCTATGTAAACTTCAGTCGATGTCAGAAAATTTAAACCCAGCTCAAATTTACCATTTGTAATGATCGAATCGGAGTACTGTACAATCAAATTTGGAAACGCCTGGTAACGTGGTTAAATCCTATTTAAATACGAATGCAATTCAAACAGCATGGGCAATGCCTGCCATTTTGCCTTCGTAAGTGTCTACAAAGCAGGTCAGTTCATGAATGGATTTCGCTCGCCTTCTGACATTAGTTTACCAGTTTTTGAACCTAGAGCAAAGCCACCGCACGGAGTTTAGCCGTGGAGCTAGAGGGGCCTCAGAAAGCCAGCATGGCCCGCCACCACCTTCAGTAACAGGCTTTTGGATGACGTTTCTTTGATTATGTTTTCGAAGTCATAGTACTGGAGGGGGAAGACGTTCGGGAGGAAGGCCTTTCTTCGCCTGCTAGAAAAGAAGCCCTCTTTGTAATGTGTAGCACCAATGTCCCAGCAGCAGTAGAATTTAAAGGGACCCAAGCTTTAGATAACAGTTCTGAAAGAGACAGCTATAAATTTTGGAAGAAGGCAGAGATTGTGATTAAACTGTGGTGCTCACTTTTTAAAAATGTTCTTTCAGATCAGGCACCATCCACATCATTATTTACTACCAGCTACAAATTAATCCTGAACCTAAATAACTATTATAGTTTCATACTAGGGACAAGTCCCTAATTTAAAAAACTAGCCAGAGTAGAAAATGGCAATTCCTGGAAAAGGCAAGAGAGGTGGGATTAAAGAGAAAAATTTCCTTTAAAAAGGAAACTGAGCTTAAAGAGAAAGAGAAGGAAAATCCCCATTCTGGTAACTATAGTAGTCTTATCTTCCCCTCTGGTTGAGCAGTGGTTAAGAGCTCAGCAGCTCACCAAAAGGTCGGCAGTTCGAATCCACCAGCCGCTCCTTGGAAACCCCATAGGGCAGTTCTACTCTGTCCTATAGGGTCGCTATGAGTCGGAATTGACTTGGCGACAATGGGTTTGGTTTTTGTTTTTTTTTTTTGGTAGGCCACCACCCTCATCCCTTTTGCCCTCATCTCCCCAAGCCAGCGGCCAGGCTGTTCGCCCCCAGAGCCCAAGGTTGAACAGGGCAGCAGCAGACATTCTTGGTTGTGGGCCGCTGGTCGCTGCCTCCCCCACTAAGGTCTAAGGGGATCAACATTACTGTGACTGGTAAGTCAGACCCTATCAGCACGGCTCCTACCTGCCTTGGGGGCGGGGGGAAGAATCTCCATCTGTCTGAATTGTTTTAGATGCTACCTGGAGAGAGCTCCATCAGCATAGAACCTGCCACGCTCATCACAAAAGGCTGGTTCAGACTCACTGATGGAGACTGGAAGCTGAAGGTCTAGGCCTTTCACGCTGACTCAGAGCGCCTGGCACATCTCCTGCCCCTCCAGTCCCTCCTCGGGGAAAGCTAACTGCATCATCAGAATCAACAACTGTTACACTGGGATCCAGGTTCTGAGGAGGCACCCTCGGGCAAGGAAGAGAGCTTTGTGTTTAATTACTCCAGGCCCTGACCTCTGCCCACAATAATAGAGAAGGAAAACTGACTTGGCCTTTATTCTGTGAGAAGGAAGTGGCTCCTTCAGGGTATAATCGTTTTAATTTTATATTTATGGAAAGAGAAAACAATGGCTCCAATCAGCTCCCATGGTTAAACACTGTCCATCCCTCCAAGGGAGTCCCTGGGTGGTGCAAAAGGTTAACACTCTTGGCTGCTAACTGAAAGGTTGGAGGTTTGAGTCCACTCAGAGGCACCTCAGAAGAAAGGCCTGGTGATCTATTTCCAAAAAGTCAGCCATTGAAAATGCTAAGGAGCAGAGTTCTACTCTGACACATATGGGATCACCATGAGTCAGAAACGACTCCACAGCAACTGTAAAAGGTATTAAAAAAAAAAAAAAAAATCCCTCCAGGGGAGCCCACTTCACAAGTTCCGGGCACAGATGGCAGAGACAGAGAGGGACGGTGGCAGAGTTGGGCCAGTGGCTTCTGGTGTTTGAATTACCCCGGAAGAACCTACAGTGTAGCATCACTTTGCAGATTACAAATCCTTACTTCACGTTTTAACCCTTTCTCGTATACTCTGCTTATTGGAAACCAGTGGCTGTGAGCTGACCAAACCCTGTGAGGATAGCAAAGCTCCTTCTTCCAGAGTCCCCGAGTATCCCGACTATTTGGGGAGCCTCCTAGATCCCTGGTAGAGAGCTTTAGATTTAGGCTTAGATCGTTAGGGAAGAATTCAATACCCCCAAAATATACTTGTTCAGTGATTTCAATAACTGAAAATGTCCTGGGTGTAAATAACCCAGGAATGTAGATCGTATGTTAAAAAAAAAAAAAAAAAATGCCATTAATCAATATTTTCCTATAACACACTCTAAAATTCCTATTTTTGTATATGAATGGTTAGACAATGGTCTGCCATTTAAACAGACACTCTCTCGAGTGACCAGACACTAGTATAGTTTCCAAAGTGTTTTGTGTATCAAAATGCTATATACTTCGAAGAAGAACTCAGGATAAGAAGAAATCGCTAGGTCCCAAAGGGTTCGTGACTATCATCAAATGCACCTGCGGAGTGGCTTATACAGTCGTGTCTTTCAATTGGGGGTCTGGGGAGGGAGAGAAAATTGTCACAAGACCTTTATTGCCCTTAGTCCATGAAAAAAAGGTTTAAAGAAAACTCTGCTTTAAAAAAAAAAAAAAAAAACAAGCCATCTTGCAAATTGTTTCTACACCAAATCTCAAATATTAAAATGAAATTATAAAATTGTTAAAATGGGGTATTTTGTGGAAATGCTGTCAGTAGAAAGCATTGCTTTTTAGTACCTGCTAGGACCCTGGTGGCACAGTTGTTAAGCGCACGGCTGCTAACCGAAAGGTCGGTGGTTCGAATCCACTAGCTGCTCTGCAGGAGACAGATGTGGCAGTCTGCTTCCATAAAGATTACAGCCTTGGAAACCCTGCAGGCAGCAGTTCTGCTCTGTCCCACAGGGTTTCTGAGTTGGAATCGACTGGATAGCAATGAGTTTTAAGCAAATAAAGGACAAAGACTCAAGAAAACGATGCAGTCCTTTCCATGTAATGATAGTGTTAGAACGACAGGCATTATCACGTGATCGGGCACTAATCTGAAACCAGCGTGGCAGTGCTATCGATTTTTAAGAGATCTTTTGAAATATAATCTTAACCATCAATTGGGGGTAGTACTTGCTTACAAAAGTCTTTAATCTTAGTGAATGAATGTATAAAGTTACAAACTATGCATTTTCAAAGAGTAATGTGTATTTTGTATTGAATCCAAGTAAATTTTGTTCTTAGAGACTTCACACAACTACAGATTATTCAAAACGAAACTTGAATGCATGTCCTAATGGGGACGTAGGACTCCCATCTATACTCTTCAGCTGACACTTTTAAAACCAGTGCATTGAAACTGTACTCGGAAACTTCAAGCTTCAAACAAATCCAGCCATTAAGGTGAATAAATGGCAAATGTTGGTATCTTACTTCTTAAGCATAATGGGAAATGCTGGCTATTACAAAACATGCCCAGTTCTTTAGAAGTGGATGTTTAGTAACACTGGATTAACAAGCAAACAAAACTGCATAAAGTTGATGAGTACTGGATACATAGAACATAGAGTTTGTTTATTTTTCAATCCAAGGGAAAAAAAATATTCTTTCAGGGGTTTGGGCTATAGAGTTTCAAAGAACAAAATATAGAAGTCTTGTCCAGAAATTCAAATCTTTTTTTTGCAAAATTAACAGAGATCATTATATTTCGTATATTTGAAAGTCCATATACACAAATTTACACAAATTTCTTAAGCACTCTTGATTTTGTATTTTCGTGAAGCCTTTTTCCCTAATACTTTGTCTTTGCTCCTTAATCAATGCTTTAGTAGGTTACTCGGCATGAAAAGATACTCTTTCATCTAACCACGTGGGAGTAAGAACTCCATTTCTTTGTCGTTCTGGTTTCCTTCCGTGTCCGTGAAGAAAGTTTCTCTCAGTTGTTTGTATGTAAAATACGGACAAATGAGCTTCTAAACCTGATTCTTATGGTGATACTGGATGTGTTTGCTACCTATTTAGAAGGTATTGAGGGGGATGTGTCTTTTTATATGACTTTTAGCCAAATTCAGATGTTCTGATACTACGTTTCTGAATACCTGTCTGACCGTCAATACAGCCTGTGAGGTTCGGGTTACAAACCTCTTACATGACTGCTCATCAGCCTTGCTCCTTGCCAGCTTTTGGCACATTGTACATAGATTTGTCCAATGTTTAAATGATGTTGTTTTTCTAAATGCCGTTCTCTAAAACAACCTTTGAATGTTTTTTTGCTTTCTATTGTTTTGGACTTTGTGTGTTGGTTTAAAAAAAAAAAAGTTTCCTAAATATTTAACACCAGAAAAAAAAAAATTTAAATACACTGGTGCTAATTGAAACAGAAGCAAAGTTTTGGATCGAAGATTCGCCGTATACAATGTACACACCAGTTAAACTGCACTTTCCCAAGGGGACCTCTGGCATCTACTCCAAATGGGCATCAGAAGACCGTCGAATGTTTACAGTTTCTGTGGCCCCATTTAAGTGTAAAAGACAGGATGGCTCTGTCCCCAGGGCTGAGGATTTGCTACAATGGTCCTTTGGAAGCATTTAAGTAGAAGTAAAGGTTATAGTAAGACTCATGTCAGTAACAGTCTTCTGGTCTTTGGACTTTCACGTTCTGTAATGCTTAGCTTAACAATGACTAAGGTGTTGCCCGTCTAGTCTGCCTCATTGTTGACTTGTGTTTACTGCGTGTATGGTTAAACCTTGCGTGGCCCTGGCGAGTACTGAGCCAGAACACTGGACTTTCAGTAAGACTATCTGACTTCTGCAGTGTCCACACACAGGAATTGAAATGCACTTGTAACTGGTTAATTACCATGAAATAAGTCTGACTTCCTCTGAATAAAAGTTTTTGTGTATCTGCTTCTATTCGGGGGTTGTTTGTTTTCAATAAAGAATAACTAACATTTAGTACACATGGTTTTGCACTTGGCTGCTAACCAGAAGGTTGGAGGTTCAAGTCCACCCAGAGGTGCCTTGGAAGAAAGGCCTAGCGATCTACTTCTGAAAAAATTAGCCATTGGAAATCCTATGGAGCACAGTTCTACTCTGACATCCACAGGTTGCCATGAGTCAGAATCGACTCAACCGCAACAGGTGTACTGGTTAACATCCCTAAGAAAGACTCGACAGGGTTAGAGGGTTTGAGGTTTTATGTATAGTTGTAAGCATAATTAAAAACCAAAGTGGGGTGGGGGGTATCGTTCCCATATCAACCGTTCCCCATCGAGGCTAATTTTTAGAAATGTGGAAGGGCATCTCTCTCTTCAGAGTGCTCAGCCTTGCTAATTACCACTTAAGCCTGTTTCCTTGGCAATGACTCTGCCCAAGTACTTAGCTGCTCACTCTTCTGCTGCTGCTGTCCCAAACATTTAGACACAACCCAGCAGACACAGGAAACTCAATGTCCAGTCCAGTGTTAAGCCAGCCGGAAGACCCTCTCCCAGGTCAAATCTGTGTCCTTTAGAACTTGATCTATTCACCTCCAAAAGCCAAATGTATGTAGTGTTCAGCCAGGTAGCAGGCTTTGGAGTCAAACAGACTTGGGTACAGATCTGAGCTTTGCCTCTTACAAGATGGGTAACCGGACAAGTGATTGATGTATAAGCCTCACTTACAGTGAGAATGACGATAGAAAAAAGGAAAACTGATTAGCCCAGCCCATACGATAGAAAAAAGGAAAACTGATCAGCCCAGCCCAGACAATATCCATATCTACTCCGAGTCCAATTAGCCTTAGATGAGGATTGGGAGGAATATGGCTCAGGGCCTGCTGCCAGGTTCAGAGAAGTACCTACCTCACAGGGCTATCGTGAGGATTACCTGAAATAACACCTCACAGTGCACAGAGAAGCATTCCACAAATGGAAGCCAAAATACTCAACCATTCAGAACCCTCATATCCAGGGTGAGTGCCTTCAAGTACCAGAATTCTCTCTTCAACTTCTTAAGAAGATTCTTTCTAAAATAAAAATGTCCTGCCTTATTAAACAGCATACACAGGACACCTGAATTTTTTTTTTGGTGACTCCCGGTCGTCAGTATTTACATCAGTTAGTAGAATGAGCCAGGTAGACAGCATTTCATAGCTTAGCCTATTTAAGAACTACAGGTTTGCACAGTAGGACACCCACTGCTTTCTTCCATGCCATCCCCAGCCCAGCCCTGGCTCCCAGTCACTGAACCTCTGTGATTTCCTTGTATTCAGCACAGGGGACATTGAGCCCTTTGACCTTTCCTAAGATGCAGTTGGGCAGGAGATAGAACCCAACTCACTGAGCTCCTACCGTGTGCTGAGTCACGTACTGGATGCTTTCAGGTAATTATTTAATTCTCACAACTCGTCCCCATTTTATCAACGAGGAGACATGCTCATAAAGATAGGCAACTGGCCCAACCGAGGTAGATGTGGGCATTCCCTACCCCTGACCCCACCCAATGGACATTCTGTGCTTTTAGGGGCTATTAATATATGGATTAGAGCCCCTCGGTAGTAAAAAGGGTTAATGTGCCCAGCTGCTAACTGAAAGGTTGGAGGTTCAAGTCCATCCAGAGCACCTCAGAAGAGAGGTTTGGTGATCTACTTCCAAAAAATGAGCCATTGAAAACCCTACAGAGCAGAGTTCTACTCTGACACACGTAGGGTCACTATGAGTCAGAGTAGAC